TTTAGGAGCTGTATCCAAGCAGTCTACAAACAGAGGTAATCATTGCTAATATTATTAATCAACAAATATTAATCAATCATCTATACCTGTGCAATTTTGTGAGCTTGAACTTGCTATTCTTTGATATTCCAATCGAAGCAAGCATTCAACCTCCGCTGTTATTCCAAATCCTCCAAACCTTACTCGAAGTGGTTCATTGTCCCAAGCTCTTTTGGTAGCTAGAGGTATTACATGATTCTAGGATTGCTAAATCGGGGTAGATACACATCCCTTTTTTCCCCTTATTATCATTCTTCTTCTCTATGCATCTCAATTTCTACATACTTGCTTTCACATTCATAACTACCTCGGGACAAATAAACAAACAAAAATATGGCATATAATAATGAGAGAAAAATATTAGTAGTGAGTGATATTCTTGAGAGGAGTGAGATAGGATGGGATGAGATGGGATGAGATGGGATGAGATGGGATGAGATGGGATGGGATGGGGGTGATGTTAGTGATTTTTGGGGGGTTTGGGTATTATTACCTAGGTATGTGTTAAGATAGGTATGGGTTTAGATGGGTATGAGTATGAGTTGTTTTGCGGAGGGGGGGGAGTTTGGATTTTGTGAAGATCTGATATGATATGCTGGAGTTGGAGTTGGAGTTGGAGTTGAGGTTGGGAAAGAGATGAAAGATTTTGTGAGTATGAATAAGAGTGTGATATTAATGTGCATATTGAGATTGTTCATGGTTAATTAGTTTGTGAGTTGATGAGCTAACCCTCATTCGGAATTCAGGAACCGGAGAGATGGTGTTGATTGATTTATCGTTTGTTTCAAGTGTGGTGCTGTGGCTGGTTTATGTTTGTGTACATAGATATTTGTGCTTGTTTGTGGAGTCTAGGACTTCAGATCTAGTATGCAGAATGCGAGATAATAGTCGATGTGGTTTGGATGTTTTTTGGAAGCAGATTTGTTATTATGATTGAAAGACTAGGACTCCGGGGTAGTTATGCTGTTGAAAATGTATAGGAGAGAATTTGTAGTACTAGATTGTGAGGTGGATGTGTGCGTAGCGTGAATAGATATGCAAGTACTCCAGGACTCTTTGCTGATAATTCGGAATTCGGCTGGGCTTTTCTTTGACGTGGGAGGATGATAGACTTTGCTTCTTCTTCAATGAACCGTACTGGCAGTGATGAGAGTGTACCAAATTACTCCTCATCTTGAATGAATGTCTCGACTCTGACTTTGATATGATCAGATGCCAGTGTCCATTCTCCAACCGATCGCAATTTGAATATTTTCTTTTGGTCCGGGTTCTAGATATGAGTCCTGGTTTGATTGTACTCTTGCCATGGCTTTCTTGGAGAGGTATTGAGATTATCGTTGCCTACATATCACCCTTTGACTGCGCACTTGCTTGATCTCTTTTCCAATCGATCGTAGTTTGGCTATGGTCTGGGACTTTTGAAGTTTTTTCCATGGAACACAAACCGTAATCTGACTGTCTCCTTGACCTTCTCGAAAATACATTGAAACTATCCTCACCAACAGACAACAATCTCTCTGTATCCTTGAAGTGTTATAAATCTTACGGGAAAGTAATAACACCGTCGTCTATCGATGCATTGAGGCAAAGAGCCCTCCGAAACAAATGACAGACATTTGAGTCCAGCCGTAATAATAGTCCTAGCTAAAAACGGTGACGATGAGAACTTCGCATCTTAGAGACAAACACGGAGGGCATCAGAGGATTGATACTATGCCGCCATTGTAAAATGAATCCTCCGAATGAGAAGTCCAAGTTGAGGACAAATACGTGAATTTGAGTGTGAACAGTGAACAGTGCTCAGTAGAACTTATGACTTATTCAACAATGTGGTCTAGCATATTTTGCTGTGAAGATGTTTACCTACTATCACTCGTATATAGTGTATGCAACAATCTCGAAATATCTGATCAGTATATTGAAATGTTGAGGGTAGATATGAAGATGTAGATGTACCATCATGCCTAATTGTATTTAAGTCCGTCCATATACTGAATATGAAAAGAACATAATGAACAGGATCTCGGTTTGCTCGGAGAGATCCAAGATGTAGCATCAATCACTAGAGACACTCGATATATATCATTCAAGGGGTATAATTGAAGATTGATCATTGTTTGAATTCAAAGGAGGCAATGATAAACATACTAACCACATAGTCTAATCGAAGAAGAAAAGGTCCCTCAGTTCACTCAGTGAAACAGAGCAATGATAAAGTACTAAAAAGTAAGAAAAGATAACATCGACTTTCCAAAAATATTTGAAAATCTCAAGTAGCCGCGAACAGGTTAACATCGAGAGGTAGTCTTGTAGTGCGAAGCTAGGAGAAACTATCTCTAGCTTCCGACACTCTTAGTTGTCACCCACAGTATCCTTCGAACTTCATTCCCGATACCGGCATTCCTACAAATGAAAACGGTGTGCAGTACTTATCCATTGCAGATTAAAATAAATATGAGCATTGTCAAGACAATGTTCCGGACACCAATTACCTCAACTGCTCGGTCTTTGCACCAGGTTGCATTATCCCGCAAACTCCATTGCAATACCAGTCCAATACCACACTTGAGTTCCAATCATCATGCACCCCGATACGATACTTTCGGTTCTAAAGCTGTTCAGCATCATATTTTGCTCCAATACCGTCTCAAACACTCGACAACTCTGACATACGAACAAAAGCACCAGCAATTTCGAAACCGGCCCCGATCCTTCCACGCCCCCATGTCTATGCCTAGAAAAGTGTATGAAGCAAATAAATGGCTTTATTTGACTGTGGTCTTTGTTGCTTTTATTTTCCTTGGTATACACTTATACTTAACTCGAGATAGTCAAAAGAAAGAGGTAGAGGAAAGGAGAGGGGTTAATGAGAAAGCAAGTGTTTCTTGAGAAGGGAAAGGCAAGGAATTCGACGAGTTATATGCGGAGGGAAACTATTGGTGGTGGATTGGATGGACTTCGATGTAGTTTGGTGATATACTTGGTGTTAACATGTATTTGTGTACCAATTTTAGTGTTCAAATGCATTTTAACAATTGAACGAATAATGGGCGTTTAAGTATTGACGTTTTGTAATTTATATACTAACATCAACGCCCATTCCGTTGTCGAAATTTGGTGGGGCAGTCTCAGCGGGGTACATAGATCTTACATATAGATTCGCGCTAGTCAAACAGACACACCAGATAGTTATATTGTACACATTCGTCTACTATAGTAAGGGTAATGTAACAAGAAATCATTACTCATAGCCAATCAGTTTCCATATTGGTCGACGGTTCTGATCTTCGTATTAAGTAAGAGCTCGAGCCGTTAGAGACGACAATGTAACTATCTAGCCATCAGAGGTAGTTAGTTCCTCGCTCGGGTCACGCATTGTAGGTTATTATACTAGTAAGTTTCTCAACAAAAATTTACTACAATACTACAAGACTTGACAAGTAGCTCAAAAAGTAGATGGATTATCACAAATACCTTGCCGTTAGCTATCGAGGGAAACATTGTTGATCATGAGTTTTATTGAATGTATCACGTTGGCGATTGAATCTCCCGAGGTATCAAATTCGCTAAAGATTTTAGGGCTTGTAGATAGGCTCGACAGGTTGCATGAGTGCTTACCACAAGCAACACCTATGATTCTACTATGGCGAGAACGCTTTCTTCTTTTTTGATATTAGCATACTGAGATGGAATTCTCTTTCTGAGTAAGGAATCTTTCGACACGGAGTTTCGGTACAGTATTGACACTCCAAGCTAGTTCTATTGTTTTATCAGAATCATTGGGGTATTCACTTTTTTAGTTCATCAAACCTTTTAAACTACGTTCTCGCTTTATAGGCAGCAAATTGAAATCGAAAACTGGAACAGCTTCTGGATCTTTGCTTCGCCGCGAAATATTTCGCTGACAAAAAGTACATACATATCAACATGACTATGTACTCCGGTACAAAGTATCGTGGGGTCCTGTCAGATCCTCCTGCGCCTTTCACCAGCAATGCATAATTGATACAGAAATAAGCAACCTCTACACCGAGGCTGAAGCGCATTTTAACACACACAAACATGCTGCGCGCAGAAGGAAAAACTGAGCTGCAATTAGTTTGTGCACAGCGACCTGATATGAGAGCCTGCTATCGGGGTCTTCTGGAATCCTTTACTGCAACAAATTAGTTTCTTGAGTCAACGCTGGGGTATCACATCGTTTCTTTCCTTTTCCACTTTAAATTTCTTCTTTGTTGGTGTCATTATCGCTTTTTTCATTATCTTCTGGCTTCCTTTTCTATATCTAGACAGTATCAACTCAGGGGGGGGTTTTTTTTTTTAATACGGCAATTCTAGGCGCTTATAATGACGGCAACGTGGAGGAATAGCACGAGCCTAAAGTTGGGGTCGATCTAACATTATTTGGCCAGTAGCCAAAGGGTAAATTTACCGCGACTAATCCCAAATCCTTCCACAGGGAATGATTCTGAAACGATCTCTTCAAGAATAGCAATTATGATCTTCAATTACAGCATCAGCTAAAGATGTACAGTGAGTGAGTGGACATGTTGAACGTCAATCTCAGAGTCACTCTTGGCCTGAAAATGTGATATTCACAATCATGCTGTTGACAATTCGACGTAGAAATTTCAGTTTTATATCTGAATGTGTCAGAAGCCTAAATCAAGATACAGAGCTAATCAATCTTGTGGCCATGCATTTTACACCTGCAATGCTTAGCCGCACCCACGCAGCCTTATTTGACCGCAGCTGGCGCAATCCTTCATTCACTATGATGGCTACAGCCAACGACATGATTAGAAAAGTTATATGTATTAAGATCGTCACCGCAGCAATCAGAGTTATGACGTTGGAGGTTTTTCTGTTCTTTGGGTTACTTTTATTCAATAGTTCTGGAAACTAAGATTGTGAAATTTTAATTTGTCTGGAAAGAAAACCAACCACACCACGAAAATCATCCAAAGTCATATCCTTAAATCATCTACGAATAAAATAAACATAACAGCTAATTCATAATGATTTCGAAAGCCATATTAGCACTCTCTCTTTTCTTCACAACCATCACCGCAACCTCAATACCAATATGTATAACCGATTCCAGCACAACAACCTCCTTCAATATATCTTCTCTATCAAAATATACCACTCAACTCTGCACCCAAATCGCTTCTAGCAACTTTTCATCCACGGCCAAGAACTACAATATAGATTCCACCTCCAGCTCCATCATTTCACTTGCTTTCACATCTGCAGCCACAACTTGTCCGGGGAATAGTTCCGCAAGTGATTGCGAAATCGTTTATGATCATCTTTTATCTGGGTGTAAGTTTTGATATTTGATTTTACTTCCCCCTCTCTAATCTCATAATTGAAAAGGAAAATAAAATAAAAACTAACATCTCCACAGGCAGTGACAACAGTTCTTCAATCACGGGATCGGGCTCCATCGACACAGGATGTGGTGTCTATAACTTCCAACTCGTAAACGCGCATTCCAATACTTCGAATGCGAATTCGACAAGTTTATCGAGTGAGAGTGGAGGTAGTAAAGCTAGTGTGGTTAGTTATTGTACGGTTACGGGTAGTGTGCTGTTTGGAGTGGCGGCGTTGTTTGGATGGTTTCTGTGAATAGGGTTTTGGGGTTTGGAGTGGGAGGTGGGAAGTGGTTGATTGATTGATGAGTTTAGAGGTGTACTTCTTGTGGTTTGGGGATGTGGTTGGAAATGGTTCGGTAATATTCGTTGTGCTAGATGCACATACGTCTCTGTTGAGATGGGTGATCGTGGGTACTTCTATTCAATGTGATTCAGTCTGACGGTCTATCAATTTTGAGTTAAATGGTTGCTCTTGGTTGCTTCTTTTTATCAGATCCTCTATACATTAGATTCTTTTGTATCTGTATGATTTTCCGAATGCTATTTCAAAGCAATTTATCGAGCGGGATAAAAGGAGAATAGGAAATATATATAATCCAAATACGACTTATCTAGTAAAATTTTCAAACTTACTTTTCAATGCCGTTGTGCTGGCAACCCCTTCGATAAGCGAATTCACTGTATATCCATACTCAAAATAGGGAAAGCTGTTGAGTCAAATTGGTAACTGGGAACTTACAAGTCGAATTATAACATACCCCTGTGGAGTCGCGAGTAGTCCTCTCGGAGAGGAGTCTTGAAATGAATCAACTGTCAATTAGTATATACATACTATTCTCTCGATCTTTCGAGCAGTCAAGTAGCCTAGTGTCTGCATAATTAGACATCTTCTATACTGCTATTATGATTGCCTCTCTTCTGGCCCCTAAAAATACTTTCTTCATCAAAAGATCTAGAAACAACATTGGCATAAATTCTTCGCTTCCCATTCCCGAATTCCCATAACCGCAGTATCCATCCCAGACGCCAGAACCCAACAACTCCATTCTCAATAAATACAAACCTCCCCCACACCCCAAAAATAACTCAATGCAAAACCACCACCACCGGATTAAAATCCGCCATTTTCCCCATCCTCTCAAATACCCTCATAAGATCCATTAGCGAATCCACAGGCTCATAATATTCATCTGACATGAACTCGCGAAGTTTCGGCAACATGCGAAGGTCATTCTGATTCGCTTTTGGAGAGATGGGATTTAGATTCGAGTCTGAGGGGGGCTTCAAATCCTGAGTTGAATTTGTATCTGGGTTTCGTGGCGAGTCGGGATTTGGGGAAGAATTTGAGAGTGTGTTGGAGGAGTCTAGGGCATCATCCCAAGTGGGATTCCATTTACTGTCTGGAATTTCTGGGTTTGTTTCGAGATTGTTGTGAGTATGTGTATTCATATCCATATTCAAATCCAAATCACCATTTCCACGCGTCTTAACATCCCAGCCCCTATCCACCCATCCTTTATCCATCCAGCCCTTTCCAATATAAGTGCAGTGAAAAATCGAAATATCAGAGCTCAAACCTTGTGCTGCAATCTTCGTCTTGATTTCTTCATCAAGATGATCATTCCTATAACCATTCAAAGGTCGCAAAACCCCACAAGAATGATTATCCGTCCCATCATAAAAATTAAGTGCGAAATCTCCCGCTTTTGTCAAGCAGGGAATAATCCCGATACTCACAAGCGAGGGAGATTTAGAGAATCGTGCAAAAGCTCTTTTACTAATGACCTTCTCGCTAGATGGGAATATCGCCGCGATGAGTAGAATAGCAATAGGAGAACCATGAAGAAGCTGCCATAGCTCGACTTCGGAAAGTTGGCCGATTCCGGAAACATTACTGCAATATTTGAAGACCCGATGCATAATCTTGCTGAATATTTTATAGTGTCGCAGATCGGGATTTTTCCAGAAAATGTCCTGTACTCCTAAGGATTCCCAACATACATGGAGACTTTTGTAAAGATTTCGAAGGTTGGAGAGTAAGTGGAAATCCCATACCTGCCGAGCCTCGAGTTTGTGCGTGTCTTTGTGCGTGTCGATTTTGGGCTTGTCTTTGTAAATGTCGAGAAGTTTGTAGAAAGTATCAATCAAGATCTGTTTTTGCTCGACAAATTTTGAACTTAAGAAGTCTGGCGTAGCAGTCTTAGTAACAACGGCAATGGCTTGAAGGTCACAGTATACAGTTAGAATCTGGGGATCAACAGGTATGATCCAAGGCCCCACTTTAGAACTCATTTTCAATTCTCCAGGCGCCGGAATATCCGTTATCTGATTTGCCATAAACGGCCAGCTGGAATTCGGCAGGTCATTTCGTCTCAGAGTCCAATCCGGTACCCAGCTTGGTAAGCCCTTTCGTTTCAAATGCGGACGCGTAGTTTCGGAATAAAATAGCATATCCCAGAGTCGTCGTGGCTCGGTAGAAATAGCAATATAAAAAGCCGCATCGACAAAAACTTCATCCACACTCTTGGTGTAATCTACTACCGGCAAATAATCTTTCGGATCTAAATATGAAGATATCCCATGACTGTATGGACGACGGATTTCAGCAACAGCAAGATAACCGTAAATGATGTCTCTGAAATCGGAAACTCCCGATCCTTGTCGAGATACGAGGATACTCAAAAGAGAAGATCCGCCAGTAACACCACTTTGAAACTTCTGTCGCGATACATCCATACTCCTTAATATTTCTCGATTGTACGCATCTGCTTGATTTGCACGCTTGAAAGATATATGCGAGGATGAATCAGTCCGAGTCGAGTAGCCTTGCATATCTGCATTGCTCATCACTGTATCCAATCTTTTTTGTAGACCTGTTGCATACACAGACTCGCTATCCGAGTCGACAACAGGTCTATTATCCCCATTCAAAATCGCCCCGCAAAAATCCTGCCACAAGACTCTACACCTCCCAACCTGCACCACAACCTCTCTCGAAATCAGCAATTCCTGATACGTCCAAACCCTCGTAAACCAAGGACGCGAGAGCACATGCCGAAACGCAAGATCGTGCGCTTTCGACAACTTGGCATTCGATCCCACTCTCCCAATACAATCAAGCAGCTTGTCTACCCCCTCTGACCACTCCCCAAGATATATCACAGTCCGGCCCCCAAGCCGATATATCTCTCTCATCAACCCCAATTGCTGAGTGCGCTCCCCCAAATTATCCTGATCAATACAGATAGCATCTGCCCATAACCGCAGGGGTCTTTCTTCATCGCGAAGATGATCTATAGCATCTGCTAAATTAACAGTTGTAGAGAAAGGCCTCTCGTTAATAAATACAGTTTTCCTCGCACGTGGATCTCCCCAAACATAGGAAAGAGCTGTATAACCATTATAGATATCTAATCTACACTCTTTCAAACTCGTATGTAAGAGACTACAGTGAATAGGAGAAGAAGGAGTTCCTGGATGTATAATCAAGAGACGAATTGCGTCTGGTTCAGTGAGGTTGTGGTATTCGAATTTTATGGGATTGGAATCTTGAGATATTCGTGATGGGAAGTGGGAGAGGATACTCATAACCATAACCAAAATGATTCACGAAGTTGTCTCTCTGCGAAGGGATAGATTGGGTTAATATTGGTGCATATAGCAAAAACACTTCAATATTCTCTTGTCAATCAACCAAAATGAATAACCAATCGAGAATGTATATGAGAATTTCGAAATGTCAAGCTGAACATGAATATTACAGAATCAACCGCTTCTGATCCCACAGAGCGTTTAAGTGGTAGTAAGGACAGTGATTCTACGAATGATAGCCGCGTTCCCCGCTCCCCATAACGTGAACGTGGAGGCGATCCCACAATCTAGTCTAGTAACTTATAGTAAGGTAAGCATACAAGGAATGGATGAAGTGACCAGGTACTCTCTCGAAAAGCATACCTAGTATTCCCACAAACCCAAAGGGATTGCAAGTACATAACACTAGTACATCTACATAATAAAGCGTTCCAGCTCCTATTCCTGCATGCTCGTTATCATCAATCCATAGAAACCTCAACATCCTATCCCGTTCCATTACCATACAACAAACTCCTCAATTATTCCCCTTCCCAAAATGATGATTCACATTCATCACTACCTAATCCCGCTAGCTAGATATCATATCGTATCTCTCAATCAAGAATCCCGTGCTCACCCTTCATACATACATGACATGCACCACAACCCCTTGTTCTGCCCAAGGCGGTAAGATTCACGAACATCGGAGTCATACAATTTCCAATACTCAGTCAGTCCTATTAATCAAACACTGAGAAGAGTATATAATAATTTGGCTTTCCTCGAGGAATCGTTATTCTTTTCTTCATATTACTTTACCTGAGGTCATCGAATCTGATGGTGAATATGGACCATAATACAATAGAATCCAATACCTTCCCAGCAGGTGCGTGTATTACTATCTCATTTTTCAAATCCCAATTCGTACATACTCGTCACGTTTCCCTTCACTTTCACACATCCCACCTGGAGATTAACATTATCCCTCACAAACAAGACCATATAACCCAGATCATAGAAAAAGAAAGACTTCAGAAGCCCACCAACAATCCAATCCAATCCCAGCAGTCACCACCATAAACCACACCGCACCACCCAACTAACCCAACCCCAGGACTCCTCGGCACCTACTACTCCACCCGTCACGAACTAGGTCTCTACCGCTCCTGCGCCGTAACATCCCACTACATCTTCACACCCCGCACTCCCCATCCCACCGCCGAACTAACCTCCCGCCTCCAACACGCCCTGCACAAAACCATAAAAACCCACCCCTCACTCTGCCACGGACTTCTCCCGCGCTCAAAATCCCCCAATCTCCCCGCCCGCTTCAAACGACTCTCTCAAATTTCCTGGGACGATCTCGTATCCATTTCCTCTCTCACCACAAGCAGCGATGCCGCATCCCCGGAAAAACGTCTTTGCGAAGAATTAGGAGTCGCCCACGAAATGCTTTTCCGCGACCAGGAAACTACACCCGCGTGGAAACTTCGGGTTTTCGTGCACGAGGTGGAAGATCAGACGTACAAGGTCTACATACTTTTTGTAGTGAATCATGCTATTGCCGATGGATTAAGCTGTGCTGCTTTTCAGCGGACATTGCATGAGCAGTTATCACTGGCGACCGTAGAAATTGTTGAGAAAAGTGACGTGCAGTGGCCATACATAGTCCCAGACACTATAGGAAAGCCAATAGCCATCGAAGATGCTATGGAGATCAGTCCTCCCGGATACGAGTCCCTCGCACCCAACACAGCAGCTCTGACTCTCACAGACCAGAAAGAAGAAGAAATGTGGACAGGAAACTTCCCCAACATGCCCACCCTCGAATCCTACAAATCTCTCGTCCTCCTCGTAACCATTCCCCCAGAAAAAGTCCCCCAAATATTACAAATAAGTCGCCGACTAAAAATCACCGTCACGGGTTATCTACACGGTTTAATCACCCGCTATCTTGCGCGCACAGCAATTACCAATAACCAACTTGGTCTGAAAGCATGCACTCCATACTCGCTACGGAAGTTTAGCAAGCTCCCACTGAGTGAGATAGCAAACCACGTAGCCTATATGACCACAACGTGGGATGCGGAACTCTTAAACGAAATCCGTCATGCGGAGGAAGAATCTCCAGAAGAGGAGTCATTGATTGCCACGATAGGAAGACAGATAACCCATGAGATCTCCACCCATCTGAGCAGAATCGAAGCCGGAGGCGGAGTCCCACAATTGAGAAAGGTTGCGAAGATTCCCGATTTGGAATCTTACTGCCGCGAGGGAATGTCAGCAGAGCGGTCGGAAAGTTACGAGCTATCTAACCTTGGTGTGGTGAGGATGAAGAGGGTCCCGGAAGAAAATCCTTTAAAACTCAATGGACTTGTATTTTCCCAGTGTGGCATGGTGTTTGGTGCGCCGATTGGATGTAATGTTGTGAATCTTGAAGGGGGACCATTGGTCATTAGTTTAACGTGGCAGAAAGGTGGCGTGGAGAGTAAAGTGATGGAAGGACTGCAGAGATTTTTGAAGAAGAGATTAGGAGCTTAAACTGCATGAATAGCATAAACAGCAGACGAACCTCGAGGTTTAACGCGATACCAAAAAAAAAAAAAAAAAAAAAGGACTAGGAATTGCAGTCCGGCGATTCATATAATGTCTATATCCTGTAACAGTGTAGATAGCCACCCAACCGCAAATTAGATGAACCATTCACGTTGATCAAACAAACCCCCCTTTCCTTTCTTTTCATGCAAACATGTGGAACCCGAACATTCGTTATCTGAAAAGCAGGCAGACAACAGGCTGGATGAGCAATCTCTACAAATCTCACATATTGCGGACGAGACCCAGTCCCATGCTGTATTGTGTGTATAGCATAGCATACTGCAAACCTCCCTACACTTCCTAACCTTCCGGAATCAGAACCCTACATACATATATGTAAACATGTCCATGTTCATATTCCACATTCCACATTCCACACTTCACACTTCACACTTCACACTTCACATGTACCTAGTAGATACCAGCTAGCCAACTAGATACCACACGCCCAAGAAAAGAAAGGAGAATATCAAATGCAGCACGCAGGAAAAGAAAATAGTATTACGTCAAGAAAAATGTTTGGTATAGAATTGCGACATACATATATATGTAAAAGTAATAAAAAATTATCACACGCTAGTTCCCTTTCGCAACATGGTGAAAACCTGGACGTCGGAGCATCAGTCCGCAAGACCGGCTCGGTCTTTGCGCGATCGAGATTTGAAAAACGATTGTCGCATTTTCGATTTCTTGATGCGCCAAATGGAGAGCAGGGAGGTGGATGGAAAGATGGATAGTATAGCATAGTACATAAACATGAACATGAAAATATTCTTCAAGACTCCAAGAAGAAATTGACATGCCAGATTTGAACGATTACTACTGAGCTGTGTAACTAAAACGGAAAAATCGCAGTTTCCCAAAATTGCAACGTGGAGACCAGACAAGTAAGAACACAATAGGATACAATTCGATACCTAGATAATCCTTTTTCTTCTCTAGAGTGTATGCTAACATCATTACTTGCATTGAAAGTTTTGAAATCTAATCCCCTTGTAGAATCTAGTAATTGGCTTGTTGGGTAGGGAACCCTTTGTGTCTATCTGCACATCTCACAGTCGCAGCACTAATGTAAAGATCTGTCGCGGTACAAAAACTAGCCCCGACATGATCGATGGGAATTTGGATTTCCCGCCAGCACAATCCTCATCTCCATGCAAGTCGCGACGCAAGACATGGGGAGCGCCTACGAGACGTCGGTACATGAAGCATCTAGACCCCGGATTCAAGACTCCTTGCGACCATTTTCGGTTGTTTTCTCCTGATTGCTAGTGGCAGCATGCGAATTAATCTCGGGCTGCGCCGAGCCCTGAGCCTCGAAGCTCGCTAGGAGATCGTCTATCTTCTTTTCGAGGTTGGTGAGGTTCGATTCGAGCATCTGTGCTGTCTTTTCGCCGCCTAGAAATCGCGTTGTCAGGGGTCATTCGATAGAGACGACGATGTGTGAGTTATGCGGATTAGGTGAAGAGACGCATGTCTAATATTCAAGGTCGCGTGGCAGAAGGAAGAACCAAAAGGGAAGACTAGGACTAGAACCCATTGGTGGAAAACGCACGTTGAAGTTCTTTGAAGGCCTAGAATTGGGGAATGGTTAGACAGGGGTCTTTCGGATGCAGCTCTGGACTGTTGGGGGCGTGGAAGTTCAGGATGGGATTCTCTCTCCGAGACGGATTTTCGCATTAGATCGCATTAAAATTTTGACAATGCCCATAGGAAATGGTAAGGAGAACTAGAAGTACATGATGGATCACACGGGAATCTGCGAACGGACAGGAAGGGTCTGTACGGTGTATGTGGACGCGCAGGTAGGAAAAGACATTTGGGACGTGAAATGGCTCAAGAAGCAGAACATGTGGAAATAGAATAATATTGATCAACATACCTGGGCTAGATCTGCCTCTGAGGTGGCAACATCACCATTTTCGGAAACGTCCTCTGCGTGATTGTTTGATGAAGACATTATATGTGTGATTTGATTGAATTATTATCGTCTTGAGGAACACTTAGGACTTGGGAAGTTTCGGAAGCACGGTGCGTTATCGATAAGTTGGTGGTTTGATGGTCAGCTCAGCTCAGCACAGCTCAGTGCTTGCCTAGTGCTTATTAGTCCTTGGCGTCGGCAATCGGATCGTTGTGAGCTGGGAATGTTAATAACTTCGCTTGGACCCAACATGGAAAAACAGGCATCGACTTTCGATGGACGGAGTAGAGTAGATACGAGATGGTTCGTAGGTAAATGGGGGTTTCTGTTGATGTAAATGGACAGGTGGGAGATCTGTGGGTAGATGGGGGGACAAAGAATTAAACTTTCGCCTCGTACCATAATGCCATGTTTATGGAACATGTTACCATCACCTTATCTTGCCACTCTACAGAAAGTATAAGCCATGAATGGCACTTCAAGTTGCTATCAATGCTACCAATAGTCGAGTAAGAGGTAGGTAAATAGTACGGGGTCATCATCAATCAAAATATATCCATTACGTACCTACCCAGGCCTCATGTACATCGTATAGTATACAAGAAAACCCATGACGCCGACACCGATCGAAGATAATTACGGTAACAAACATTATAAGGATCTATCTCAGATCATCGATCCCATTCATTCCTAGGAGAAAGTTTCCGACCCCGATCCCCAACTTTCATCTGTTGTAACCCGATGCATTTCTTTCATTGTCTTTCTCGTGCTTAGCCTGCCTAGGTTAAAAAAGAAAGATATGGGAATGAAAACGAATATGGAAATGAACATGGACATTTGAATAGACAGGTTATGTGAAAGATCGCATTCTCCCGAGGTCGTCACAGTTCGATGGCTTGGTTGCTTGGTTGCTTGCTTGGTTGCTTGCTTGCTTACTTGGCAGCCGGTGGTATCTTCTAGTACGTACTCTCCCCACGTCCTGGCAAAACGATGAATTTATTAAGTTTTGGCTACCACCGCCTGCATAATGTGACGAGTAATGAAATCAAAGTATAAATCTTGACAACGTGCATTTGAGAGGGCTTTGAGAGGGCTTTGAGAGGGCTTTGAAAGGTTTGATGGGGTAAAACCGGTCGACCTCACTAGACAAGATTAGTATGGAATACACGTGGAAGTTAAAAGGGAAGGAAAGTTTAGATAGAACATAGAACACTGCCTACTTACTACTACTTCGTACTTTGTTACTTGAGTGATCGGAAGATGCTAGGTGCTAGGTGCTAGGGACTAGGTACCTAGACAGTAATTACTGTAGATATGGAAGGATGGAACCGAACATATCAAAGGAGGAATTTCCAACGAGGTGGGTGGAAAGGATTATAAAATAAAAAAAGAACAGATAATAAATCCCTCGTACCTGTGGAACTTACCTTACTGGGAGCGGGAAATCTTACCTCGGGCCTATCCAGCCAAAGTTGAGGAGAATTGTTCGTTGTACGGACTCCGGCCATGCATGATGGATGCATTGCAGATGGGTGGGTGTTCGGTATCACATCTGAATGTGGGCACTGTGGACAGACAGTTGAACGTTGAGAAAGGACCTACGAAGGTATCCATCAGTCAATCACGATTAATAATCATGCCATTTTCGAGAAACAGATACCAAATTGGAATATCGGTGTTTGAAGGTGCGATGAGCGTTGATACCTCCGTACGAGGTACACTCCCTACGAATAAGCTTATTGGGTGGGTTACTGGGCCAGATTTCCATCAATGAGGGCTATCAGTCGGATTGATACGATAATCAACCAAATCCATGATGGTATGATCATACCTTGGGTATAGCTAATGGAAAAGTTATTCACATATTGCTTCGGTTGAGTTTCGACCCTCAATTGACCACGATCTGGAATGTTGGGATGTGAACTGATAGGCAGAATAATATCATTCATCCCTAGTCGTGATGACATGAAAAGTACTTTGTACTCAAGAAAAATTGAGCGTTCTGGGAGCGTTCTGTGGAAAGAAAATACGGTCGACCGCTATGACTCAAGTGAGCAAGTTTTACATCGACGATTGGAAAATCGATTGGTCTACAATGAATGGACTATAGCCCCAACTCCATCCACACTAACCCAACTACCGGTATTCACACGGCCACGAAAAACATCGTCATTCTCTCTTCCTCCACTCCAATCCTGTTCCCTTTTATATCATGTCCCTGGGTGCATCCTGTGGAGGTAGAGGGGTCAAGTCATATGTGTGAGTCCCAATCTTGCCCATCCATCCATCCATCCATCCATCCATTCATTCATTTATTCATCCATTCACCCATCCTCGATGACTTCTTTTTGCATCGAACGTTGAATCTCTGGGTGATGAAGAGTAGTCGCCACATGTTTGTTTCACAGTTCCCATCGAACCTTGATATCGGGGAATTTATGGAAGAGTGAGAGTGAGTGAGAGTGAGAGTGAGAGTGAGAGTGAGATTGAGAGTGGGCGATGGAAAGTTGGAAAGATTGAAATGAAAGCTCTAGAATTACTGCCGTGTCTCACACTGTACTTCTCTAACCACATTCAGTAGAAGTTTCGGGTGAAGTAGGTGAAGTTGGGGGGGGGTAATGGTAAAAGCTGTTATGTGTATGGTACCAGTTCTCAGGTGCTCACAATGACCTGGCTGGGGAAGTGGAAAACTCTCGGAGGATAGGTATTAGGTAGTACCCGGGAGGTAGATAGGTACGTAGGTAGTATTCCAGAAGTATCGACAATGCTCCAATCTGGAATGAAGCTTCGGAGACAGGCCGATGTTCACATGTATCGAATATAGCTACCTAGTAGTATCTAATAAATTACGATATTTGGTAAGATGATGCATGCAGGTGATACTTTTTACTGGGTAGTACGTATCTATGTATTTATGTATCTCGATTCTATATATCTACTCAAGGTAACTTATATTAGTTATGAGTTTTTGTTATTGTAAAAGTCTGTACAATGAACCAATGAATCAATGGATACTAGTAGAATGCGACCGTCTACTCTATACTCTGTACACTTCTGTCAGGAGATGAATGTACGTACCTACATACATCTACCTACAAATATATATTTACCTATCTACCTATTTACCTACCAACTTATCTATCATACAAATATCTATTTACAAATATATATATCTACCTACAAATATCTAATTAAATCTATCTACCTACAAATCTATCTACCTCTACCTAAATACTACACTAGTCGTTTTATATACCTATAATAACAAACAACTTCTCACATCCAAAGTAACCTCCCACCTCCCTCCTCAAGTACTTCTTCACTTACCCAGTCAGTAATGTTTTACCCAAACAGGAAAAGAACCAGAATTCTGGAGATCCTGGAAAAGAAATAAAAAATTCCCTAATATTTTTTTCCAACGGGACCCCCAATTTCCATTAGCGTTTGATCATTCTCGGAATGCGAATCGAGAAAACAAATGTGGCATCGGTGAACTGTGCTTCTCTGCCTTCTCTTGCTTCTTTTTCCCAATGCAATGTCCAATTCCCCCCCAATTCCCCGTCCCTGCATCCTCAAAGTATGATGAGTCAGCCATGTGAATCTCGATGACAACCGTCCACGGTGCAGTTTGTCTGGAAAATTCTCTTTCTTCTTTCATTATTTTCACCTCATGCCTCACTCGCCTCATATCCTTTCCACCTCTGATACAGCACTGGACTCTCGTACCATCACCCACCCGGTACCTAGTCTGCTAGTATTGTAAAATAAGCTCATATTGGATTGATCATCAATTCATGGGCTTCTTGCTCCTCTCAGTCCTCTCTTATGATCTTGTTACGCTCTTAGTTCCTATTGTCCAACCCACTCATTCGACTTACTTTCATCCACTCATCATACAGAAATTGTTACCTAGATCTCGAGATCTCTCTCTGCTCTGCTCCGTACCAGCAAGAAAGGAAAGGAAAGGAAAGGAAAGAGAAAGTGAAGAGGAGAGAGAAAGAAAAAAAAAACAAGAAAAAACAACACCACCCCCCCCCCCCCCCAAAACCATTCAGGCATAAGCAACGAAGACGCCTATTTTGATTTGATTTGATTTCTTTCATTGATTTAGTAATTCTGTTGGTCTATAGTACCCTTCTCAAACTTCTTCTTCCTTGAACCTCTTTTTATAAAAATTTATATACCTTCTTGGGTAATTCTTGATTCATTATTCCCCCCCTTCTCTTTTTTTACCATTCATCATTTATTTATACTTCTCTCTCTCAAGATACTATCATTCGCCGCTACTTGATAATTTATATCACAAAGCCATCCAATCCATTCCAATACCATACATGCGTACATCTTCACTATACAGTTTCCAATACCCAAATACCCATTCAAAGTCTCTTCTGTTCTTCAATTAGCGCTCGCTCATACACGCATGAATCGATTGAATCGAATGAATCGCATCTATCGCCTCGATCGCACCTATCCCGTTCTTCTCTTTACCCATCCGTCCTGTCCACCTTTTTATACAGTCCTAGAATTATACCGAAATCGATCTCTCTCCGCCACAAGCTCTCATCTTCCCATTACTCCACCGTGGGAATAAATTCTTTCATACGATCAATCATTCAAGATTCACGACCCACTGCTGAGGGACTCTTGCACTATCCAACTACCTAGCCATTCTTCAATTCTCCGAAGCAGGTATACTTCCACACTTCTCAAACATTTGCCTGCCCTAGGGTTGCCCCTCCACCAGTCACATCTATAAGCCACCGTCGATCTCGCATGGCACCTAGGGATATATAAATGAGAATACTATATTTCAGGCCCCGCATGAATTTCTGGCTAATGCGGATGTGAAGTAACGCATTGCAGGAAGAGCAACAGTCCAAGCATCTTAATCGAGATCATTCTTTTCATCTGATCCCGCTTTCATTTAGCTCTTGTCATTCAACCATATTCAGCGAAGTAACACATCAAAACATCATCTTCATAGACTACAACACTTCGAGTCACATTCACATTTGTCTTCATATCTCAATAGTCAATCAACCCTTGAACACTGAAACTGCATGACAAGGACGGGAGACTTGACGAACATTCATGGTCAATATCGCATCTGAACCTTACTGCCTCGACGACATTTTCTTCTCTCAATCGCTTTATGAAGGAACCAGATATTGGCATTACAAAGAGAGATTACATCTCAGCAACCGTCCGAGAGATCCACCATACAACATAGCCTCGAAGCTAGAAAGTCATACAAAAGTCCGCAATTCGAAACAAAAAGAACTCTTCGTTATAGGTGGAAAGGGCATCTTATCGTAGGAAATTGGAAAAACTCTCACTAACATTTCTGGACGCAAAGATCCAGAGGCAGCCTGCTGTATGACGACTGAGTTGTCGGAAATCTTTGCGGAGTTGGGCATCTCTCATTACCTCCTCAACTTCGTCGAGCAGGGGTTTGACACATGGGATACAATACTTGACATTACGGAATCCGACTTCGATGCTCTCGGCGTGAAACTTGGCCATCGTCGGAGACTCCAGAGGAAGATCGCCAATTCAAGGGGTCTATCATCGGATAGGGCTCTTGCATCTCCGACTAGCACCACACCCGATACTCATGGAGATGAACCAAAAGCAGCAGGGAAAGATGCCAAGGAGGGGACTAGTGGGCCACATGGAGCAAAGAGAAAGTATAGGAGACATCCCAAACCAGACGAGAGTGCGCCAGAGCGGCCTCCTTCGGCGTACGTTATATTTTCAAACAAAATGCGCGAAGATTTGAAAGGACGTGCCTTGTCGTTCACAGAGATCGCCAAGTTGGTCGGCGAAAACTGGCAGAATTTATCGCCAAGCGAGAAGGAACCATATGAACATCAGGCATATACAGCAAAAGAGCGTTACAATAATGAATTGGCCGAATACAAGAAGACGCAAAGTTTCAAGGACTATTCGCAGTACCTCGCCGACTTCAAACAGAAGCAAAATCAACAATTGGCGACTGAGATGGATGTTTCGAAAAGACCCAAACTCGAGGCCCATGCGAGTACAGCAAGTAGCGGAACAGCAAGCAGTGGCGGTAGTCAAACTGGTATGGATTCTTCTATGGGTCGTATGCGTGTAGATTCCTCGGCATCTTCGATGTCTCAGTGGCGTCCATCAACCTCACCCTCCTCCGCTGCATTGACGCCAGTATCCAACTTGTCAGCCGTGCAAAATAATCCCAAAGCATCAGGGCTACAGGGAAGGATGGGTCCAGGATCACCAATTGAGATGCCCACCGTCCTTCCTGGTTATCGTGAGTCTATGCTGGGGTCTGGAGCACACCATTGGCGAGAAGATCATCGCGATGAAGGTACCAATGGAAAACAAACATCGCACGCAGCCGCTGGCGAAAGGCGCTTCAGTCAATCAAGTCCTATCACTGCCGCCCTACAAGATCCGCATTCGATTATGAACGACTCAAAACAGCATCGCCGCAATCTTCAAAGTAATTTAAATCCTACGCCACCATCACTAACTTCGGAATCAACGGTACAGTCTACTAGTTCCACAAACAGTAATTCTTCCATGTACGGTGGACCTCGGACACCCATAGAACCAGATTTCAATCGAGCTCTTCCAATTCCGGCATTATATCCTTCAAGGTCCGGAAATTACGAAGGGCATTTGTCATTTTTATCAGCGCCTCCAACCTTATCACCCCAAAGCTCGCTTCTTGGTAGTCAGCAATCACCTAAAGGTTCGTGGCCAAAAAAATGATTTCTTTTCACCTTGCTTCATCAAGTTCGTAGTTACTGGTGGCTAATTCAATGTAGTAATCAATCAACCGCAGGATTTCCCCACCACAATGCCACCTATGCGAAGATATAGTGAAATTCCTCAAAATATCTCGAACGCTATGGGTAGTACCATTGGCCGATTCGACGTAGCGAGACCCGAAAAACGATCAATTGATAATTCGCACCCTCAGCCAATCAATAATTACGGTTTGGCCGGGGAAGAGGTCGACCTTGATCCTATCAACGCTTTGTTGAGAGCAGGAGAAATAGTGAATCGTAACAGTCGTGAGAGACACCTTTGATCGTTGGTAGATTTTCAAATCTCTCAGATGGCTTGAGGCTTTTGGTAGATATGGAAGATTGACAATGGATACGTTTGCATGAAATTTTTCTCGAGGGTCTTTTTTGGCGTACGGGGTCTGGGTTTTGAATGGAGCCTGGAGTCGTTGGGACATGAGAGGATACACATGATTGTGTTTTTCTCAAAAGGTCTTTTATGACATACCTATCCTTGTTACTAGACATGAGACTTTATTGTATGATTTCAAATATGATTTTAAGGTAAACTGGATTGATGGTCGAATATGGATGGATTCCCGAAAAGAACTTTCAGGGCATTTAGTAACGAGGAGATGATTGTTGGATTTTGGATATATATTTTTACTCGTTGGTTGTAAGCGAAAATATGCTACATATATCTAGGTGCTGATCGATGTACATAGGACATTGGAGTGATGGACTGAAGGAAGAGGATACTTTAGGGCCAAGTTGAGAGAGAGAGAGAGAGAGAGAGAGAGAGATCGGAAGCGAAGCCGTTTCTTAATGATCATTACATTAGATGCTGAGGATCTTTTGCAATACTATGCATATTGTTTTATTATACCGTGTGTTTGTTTGGAATTCAATACCCTTATGATATTCAATGTTATTTTTTTTTCCAAGTTTGCTTATTGATATTGAGAGAGTACATAAAAATGGGGTGTGAAATTTTGAGATGGATGGATTATCTTTTAGTAGGTAGATAGAAAGTGGAGTGGTTGATTTTGGATATACAGATACATATATATATATATATTTTTTAAACCGATGGTTGTGTATAATTATAATTTGATGGTAAAGGATATTGAATATGGTGATTAGTGATAATTTATTTGGTCGGCTATGAACTAGAGCGGACTGTCATTGCGGATGATGGTAAGAATTATGATGAAGTGTGAGAGAGATTTGTTGCTTTCTGTGGTCTGTCTGTGGTTTGTCTGCTCGCTTGTCTCCTCCACTGTCTGTCTCTTATTCAATCGACTCTCTGACTTGGATCTCGGAGTGTAGAAGAGATGGACTGTATCGTGTACGTATATAGGGAGTTTGGAGAGGGGGGAAAGGGATCTTGAATGTGGGTTTTGATTAGATGGAGTGGGGGTTTTGTGTGAGTAGGTGGTTTTGATGTGAGGGTTTGGAGGAGGTTTGAGCGGGGAGGAGGAGGGATGGTGGGGGGATGGGGTTGAAGGGGGAGTGGAAGGGGGAGTGGGGATGGTGTGGTTTGATTGGGTTTGTGTTGGGTTGGGTTGAGTGGATTGGGATATTGGGATAGTGTGTTTGTGATATTATTTACTTGAATCAATTTCAGATTTTTGATGGTTCTGGGAGAGGGAGAGGAATGGGAGAGGGGAGTGAGAAATTAATGAAGCGGAATGGGAATAAGGAGAAGGGAAGGGAAGGGAAAGGGGGTAAGCGAAAAGAAAATGTATGTTTTCTTACACATCCATGCATACACACTACTTCAAGAAGCCTTCTTATATGAGTATATTTAAAATAACTCTATCCATCTTCTTTATAATCGCTTGGTGGGATGGGATGGGATGGGATGACTATGCAGGTATATGTGTGTATTTCTTCTGGGGGGAAGAGGAAATATAGGAATAGGGATGGGATGGGAAATAAGGTTTGTTGAGGATTGGGGCTGAAGGCTTGATCTGTAGATGGATGGACAGATGGATATCTATAGAGTTTTATAGGATGGGATAATGGTGATGAGATGGATGCATGTAATTCCATACTGTATAGATAGTTTTGGGGGGTTTTAAGGGCTTAGGGAAGCTGCAAGGAGGTTGTTTCTTCGAAAGACGAGTACTGTGGATATTTTAGAGCTTCTCGAATAGTTCTCGTATAGAGACTTGTGAGGATTATACAGGTCGGTGTGTGGGTGGGTAGGTAGATAGGTACGTAGGTAGATAAGTAGGTAGGTGGATAAGTAGGTAGGTAGGAATCAGGAGTATGAATTCTTTAATTTCTTACAAGTTATATCTTTACATATTTATTATTTGGTGTCTAGATATAGATATGGTAAGATAGGAGACTTATTATTAGTGATTTCTTCTACTTCAGGAAGTATTGATTTTACATTGGTCTCGACAATAATGTCACTATCAATCTTTTCAGCAACTTAGGAAAAAGTACTTCCAAGTCAACTCTTGATTCTTAATTCTTACTTCATGAGTCTTGAGTCCCGAGATATAACTCATTTCATTTTACTACTTGATCTTTTGGGATTTGAGCCAGAAAGGGGATTTGGTTATAGATATTAATGTGGAGGTATAGTACCCATGTAGTAGTAATCACTCTGTCTCTACCTTTTCTTTTTATCAGGCGAAATGATTTATAATAAAAGAAATAAAGTAAACCATGCCCTCAATTACATCGTATCATATCGTATTATATATAATCAAACTAAATCAGATACAAATCCTTTCATACTCTGGTAGTATAAAATTCATAAAATTCATATACAATATCTTTCAATTATATTCCTGTACATAAGACACATACCTATCCAAGTATATACAAACTATCAACAATATACCCCTCCTTCCATCATCATCCCCTCACTTTTTCATCATACTAGAACCACGATCTCAAGAGAAGATCTCTCCCTCTCTCTCCCTCTCTCAATAATAAATCAATACAAATCAACACACCACACATACAGACCAAATCCACTCCACCTAAAACATAACCTTACCACCCAAGTATCAAAGTATCTATAAACACAACACCAGAGTATGCAAATAAATATTCATCACCGTACAATGCCCACACACGAAGTACAAACCCAGATTTTCAAATACAAGTTTCTACGACCAGAGCAGGGAACGATAATGGTGTAGTGCACAGTAGCAAATACGGTTATATAAATGGTAAAATTAGAATTTGAGATGTATTTTCAAGTAGAGAGAGGTTGAAATATAGGAGGGATTAAAAGATAATCGATCTACCGTCTGGAATCTGGAATCTGGAGAGTGACCTAGGCAAGATTGACTAGAGATTGTGTACAAGTATCCTAAATGATTCTTGTGAAGATGAACTTACTCTTGATCAAAGAGCTTGCAATCTAATATTTTCGGAGTTCGAGTTGATTGGTATCTAGCAATAAGATGAGTATGATTAAGAATTTTAGGAGAAGCAATTTAGGCGAGAGCGAATAGTCTTTTAAGCGAAGTTCTAAATGGGCCAGAGAAAATGATATACTAATGTATTTTAAACAATCCAAAGCAATAGAATTGAAGCTATATTTTTATGTCTCAAAATGACATGAGATTTGATTTAACTTTCAAATGTGCTCCATTTGGAAAAGTGCTCCATCGTCAACCTGTGCCTTTCCATTCGTTTCAACACTTGGCTCTTTCCCCTCAACTTGCTGTGCCCACCTCTCTGGCATGATTGCCTTGAAATCAAATGTGCCCTGTGCACTTCTAACCACTTCTCCCTTCTCAGTGATGACGGCATCAATATAATTACTCGGCGTAACGTCAAAACTTGGGTTCCAAACGTTGATTCCCTGGTGGGCAATGGCAACCCTGGCCGTCGAATTGACATCTACATGCCCATCTTTCCCTACTATAGCTCCACTTATTTGAGTAAGCTCAGTTGGAGCGCGATCTTCGATTTTGATATCTGCTCCTGAAGCTGTCTCAAGATCTATACTTGTCGTAGGTGCAGCAACTATGAATTTGATGTTATGAGCTTTTGCAAGAACTGCGAGAGAATAGGTTCCGATTTTGTTTGCGGTGTCACCGTTACGGGCCACGCGATCTGCGCCTACAATGACAGCAGAAATATTTTTGATTTCTTTCATCCGGGCAAATAGAGCACCAGCCATAGAATCTGTAATGAGTGTTGAGGGAATCTTTTCGTACACAAGCTCGAAGGCAGTAAGCCTCGAACCTTGGTTATAGGGGCGAGTTTCAGTACAATAGGCGTGGTCGAGATAGTTCATTCTGTGCAGACTGCGGATTATACCCAAGGCGGTGCCATGACCCGAAGTAGCTAGAGAGCTGAAGAGATTGTAAGTATTTTTGTCTTATTCGACGAGTAGAAAGGTACAAGTAGTAGGCATACCCGGTATTGCAGTGCGTGAGAACACTCAATTTTCTGTAAGTTTTGTCCATTGCCCCTTGTGTGCATGGCGGACTTGTTGTGAAGAATTTGGATGGATCGTCATCATTTTCCTCTCCAATTGGCATCTGTTGTCGTCTTAGATATTCCGCTCCATATCTGCCAATTGCTAAGTTCGTAGTAAGATCGTCTTCTAGGATCTTCTCTGCTGCAACAATATATCCATTTCGAACATCCGCACAGGCAACATCGTCATCAGTTGCATCGGTAGTTTGTGCCGCATTTTGAGAGACCCGTTTAAGAAGTTTGATAGCATTTGAGAGGTCGACGGCAGTTGGTCTACTACCCAGGAGATAATCGAGGCGTTTGTTGATGTATTGGACAGTTTCTTGTTTCGTCTTAGAATCTGAGATGATCAATGTTAGAAAGCTATCACGCGCAATCAAATTAGTCTATGTGAAGTACCAACCATCTTTCTTATGATGAAGCTCTACGGCCAGCGCAAGAGCTGCCACAATCGCGATTGCTGGGGCTCCTGATAAAACACTTAGCCATCAAAGCTCATCATGTTGACTAAGAACAGAGCAGTAGATACCTCTCACGCGCATCGACTTGATAGAATCAAATGCCTCTTCGCAAGTAGAGACATTATCATAGACAAACTCATGCGGAAGTCTCAACTGATCCAAAACTTCTAGTCTTCCTCTGCCATATTTAATGGCCTCTAATCCAGCCATCTTTGAATTGTCTGGTTTTTACTGGATTTCGATAAGGATGAGAGGGGCGGATATGTAATGGAAATGGAATCGGCTAGAGCGAAGTGAAAATAGGATAAACAATAGTTTGTTTATATGCAACGCAGTTTGATAGTTTCTATATATATTATATATATAGAAAAAGAAACGAATTCTAGTGCGCAAGCTAATGTAATCGAGTTATTGAATGGTAAGTGTACACTTAACAGGGCGAGAGGGTGAATATAAACGTGGGTATATGGTTAATATATAAAGCACCAACAAGGTTTTCCAAAGATTGTTTTGATAATAAAATTTTACGGAAAGACCCCGCCCCCGCCATGCCAAAATAAGGCGGTGAAAGATCGGCAAATGTCTAGTTGTGAAACATTTACCACTGAGCCACTTTTAATAGACACTTCCAATTGCATTTTCTTCCCCAATTTACAGTCACGTTATCTTTTGTATATCATTTGTACAGATACAAAATGAGTTTTCTCCTAATTCTAGGACTTGCTGATTGTCTGAACTCGCTCAAGTGGCCATACTTGAGGTATTAAGGTAATAATCAATTCCATGATATAAGAAAGTTGGACGTTTGAGGGCGGGGAGGGAGGAAGAGAGATATCGTAACATGGCGCCAAGTAGCTTCGTGTCGATATGAAAGGAAACTAGGTACATTTTTCCTTTCTATAATCAAGTCTTTGTTCCCCGACACGATTTATTAGTCTTGGATTTGACGAAGGCGTTCAGACAAACACCAAGCGTGTGTTATAATCAGACCGACTCTCGAGCAAGGGGCCAAAGTAAAGGCTTACTGATCTTTTGGCGTCCAATCTTATGACCTGTTCAGTCCACTTAAATCTGCGGGTAACCCAGAAGTCGTGCTGGTTCTTCTGTTCGTTGTGGGAAAAGTTTCTTGCATGGTAGTCCTTCTGGTGGCTTGGATGCAAAGGGCTATTTCTTGTTGGCTTGTGGTTGGAGACGATTTACAGAGCAGATATTCTGGTTATGAGACTTCGATAATATGAGACTCATAAAGGATTACTATTGTTTCGCATAATAACATGAGCCCCAAAGCCAATAGTAACTTATTTGGAGGCTACGGAGATCTAGCAAGATGCTCATTATACTCACTTCCAGCCAAATTAAAGCCGGACTCAACGCTTTTTATATGTCAATCCATGATTAGTGACTTTCGTATCTTTCAGACTGTTCTCTTTGTATGTGTCTTGATCTGTATTGATGTTGGGGGAAAGCAATCACCAAAGATATAAACGCTTTGGAATATTGATATGCCTATGGTACGGAGCTCGCAGAGCTTACAGCCGCGTAATGGACGGACTTGCACATGAATTACCGTTGATTTTCTATCATAAACCTTTTCATTGGGATTATTCAGAATGTGCGATTAAGATTATTCTTCTTCAACCTTGCAGGGGCATAAAATAGTAATAACATATTGGAGTATTCGATTGTATCGGAAGAGAGATTTGACCAAACACCCACACGAAGTTATCATTCAGTTCTTATCCATACAACGAATTACAATAATCCCACGCTCGAGAAGCCGGGGTGTTTATCAGTGGATAAATTGATCTATCGCATACACCTTCCGAATTGGTATAGTATGCAATAGTGGGGTCGCAGGTATATATGCATTCGTACGACTGAAGCTTCCCACACTTACTTGATGAATATTGAAACTTTCATGAACTATAAAACGCTTACAAAATATACTGCCGTCGCAGTAATTCTGTCTTGTTTCCAGATTTATTCAGAATAGCTATATACAGCTACGAATCTCGAAGCGAGCGCCACTACAGCTTTGGCATTCAAGACTGCTTCATGCCATATTTGACTAAGACTTCTGGAATTCAAATTCTTCATATCAGTCTTACAAAATCATGTCATTTATCGTCCCTCAACTTGGTAGTCCACACATACCACTTGCAGTAAGACAAGAAGCCCTTGACAGAGTATTCGCAGATCCTGGAATTCCAGATGCAGTTCATTCAACAAAGTCATTTTGGATGAAAGAACCGCATCCTGATATTGCAAGTGTACAATCAGAGCACCTACCAAAATTTGCCGATTATGTCATTATTGGTTCTGGAATTACCGGAGCCTCTGTCGCACAAGCTTTGTTGGAGGGTCTCGAAACGGCGACTCCATCAGACGTTCAATCTTTAACACATCCAAAAGTGATCATGCTAGAAGCTCGAGACAGCTGCAGTGGTGCCACGGGAAGGAATGGTGGGCATATTTTGGAAACGGGTGAAGAGTATGCCATGCTTAAACAACGTTTGGGTAAAGAAGAAGCCATCAAAATCCATAAGCTGCGCGTTTCTCATCTTGAAGCGCTGATCAAAAGTGCGGAGAATTTGGGTTTGACTGAAGAGTCACAAGTTCGCAAAGTACGTTTTCTGAGTGTGTATTTTCACCAGGAAGCTTGGGAGGATATTCGGAAAGATATAGAGCTGTTCATGGCCGAGATGCCGGATGATTCTAAAGGATGGGGGTTTATCGAAACCGATGAATTAGCAAAGGTATATGACTGCAATGTTGACCTGCACAACCTTGCAACGCTCGATTCATGTGAATATTCTAGCTAACCTCTAATAAGGAGTTCGGAATTTCAAATGCCACTGGTGCAGTAACCGGAATAGCGGGCGCCATGTGGCCCTACAAATTCGTCACCGGACTTCTCGCCCATCTACGAAAACAATCCCCATCAGACTTCCTCCTCGAAACCAACACTAGCGTATCTGAAATCCACGGAGAAAATGACTACTACGAAGTCCTCACCCCACGAGGAACAATCAAAACCAAACACGTAATCCACTGCACCAATGCACACATCGGGCATCTAGTCCCCGGCATCCAAGGCTGCATCTTCCCCATCGTCGGACAAATGTCCGCCCAACCCCCCGGCGACAAATTCAAACCCCAAAGCGACCACTCCTGGATCTTCAACTACGATCGCGGCTTCGATTATCTCACGCAACTTCCCGTCAGCTCGACTTCGAATGGGGAAATGATGATGGGAGGCGGATATGCACAGACTCAGGGGGGTGGAATCCACGAAATGGGTGTGAGTAACGATGCTGAATTGAATTTGTATGCCAACATCCATCTCCGCGGCGTTCTCGGGGCGGTTTTCGCACCGGAAAATTGGGGCGCGGTGAAAGAATCAGCGGTCTCGGCAATGTGGACGGGGAATATGGGATTTAGCACGGATGGATTACCATGGGTAGGTAGACTCCCCGCATCTCTCACCGAGAGGAAAACAACAACAATGCAAGGAGCAGAATGGGCAGCCGCCGCTTTTTCCGGCGAGGGAATGGTCCATGCGTGGTTATCGGGGAAGGCGCTCGCGGATATGATTCGTTCGTGTGAGGAGAGTGGGAGCGGAGACGTTAGTGTTCCCGAGTGGTTTCCGGAGGCGATGGTTATTACAGAGGAGCGATTGGCGAGGTCGAGGTTAGCGCGCGATGCGCAGGAGGAGGCGGAGCGTGGGCCTTTGTGATTTGTGATTTGTGATTTGTGATATTTGATATTTGATATAGGAGCTACGTATTTGTATGATCGGTTAACAATATGATGTCTATGATCTTAATAACGATCTTTTGTCAATCCTGTCAATGTCAAATCTATGACATTCTCCTCCTGAAACGTGATTCAAAATTCCCAGAATGAATAATCGTGCTAGTTCAACTTCGACAGCTTTCCTCAGCCCCATCCCTACTAATGCCAGAGCAGTCCTCGCCCGGTAGCAGCAAGAAAAGATGACGTCTGGAAAGTTATATAGGTGAGTCCGTCCCTTTTTTTTACAATAGAAATATAGAAATGTCATTACAAATTCTTCCTAGTCCGCCTAGAGGTTCAATACTAAATAAATCATATACGAAGAATGAACGATGTATCTTTGGGCACTCTCACGAAAAGAAGACAGGAGGAGTGTGATTTATCGAGCATGAGAAGTCCACTTCATCGCTCGATTACAATTCTATATTCGCTAATCCGTTTTTCTTTTGGGGGGGAGGGGCAAAAGTGTTGATGGTTGGCTCCAAGTGAGGAACTTAGATTTCATACGTAGATTCCATCCTGAACAGTGATTCACCCAAAAAAAATGTTGCATCAGGACCCAGCAATATAGCTATCTCTAGGGGGGGGAAAGCCTCAGAATAGGCTTCATTGATCATAAAGATTTGTATGTCGCGAGGAATAACTCTCATCAACTTGGATTTATAAAAGTATCAAAAAGCTTGCGATTGCCAATCTGTACCATCCCTTTATTCATATCAGCGCCAATTTGGAAAGACGATACCCACTGCTCCTATTCTCCTGTTATCCCAATCCAATCCAAGGAATATGCGTCTACCCCAATGCTTCAAACCTATTGAAACAACCCTTCAAATTTATGTTTAAAAACACCGGATACCGAGTCACTGGACTAGTTATGCATCAATACCTGAGCTTTTACCTTTATCTTCGGAAATTTTGTCAGTTGGGTCTCCTGGTTTCGCTCCCCACGCCCATGGCATCCAATTCCCACTGGATGTCGTCCTCTCCATCATTTTTCTTGCTTTACCGACTTCTTCCGTCCCACTATCTGCATCGATTTTTTCAAAATCAGGCTCACTCTTTCTCGAGGTCATTCCGCTCATGGAGCTCTTTGGTCGATCGAGGTTATCATCTTCGCTGCTAGTGCCATCAAATGACATACTAGAAATATTTCTAGGGACACGTTTTTCATTTTGTAGTGTTTGTGCCTCTTTGTCCAACGCCGAAAGAAGGATTGAAAGGCGTTCGCGCTGTGCTTGGATAAAAGTCATACGTTCACTCCCAGATACATGAGGAGGTATCAACATGCCACTGTTTGAAAGATCTCGAGTATCCGATCCACCGGTAGCAGCGTTTGAGGAAGTAGCAGCGGAAACTGCTGAAGCAAGGAGCGAATAAAAGTCTGTCGCACTGCTAGCAGCACCTCCGACAGGATTTAGTGGGAACGAAGATCTAGCAGATGGCAGATTGAAGCGTGCCATGAGGCTTTGTGTATATGAATAGGTTGAAGGTGTTGATGGTGGTGTGGGTTCTTTGGGTGGAAGACCAAAGACCTGCTGCCTAATCAATTCTATAGCTTGTTTGAGATATGTCATACCAGCGGCTTTCGCGCGTTCATGAGCAGAAGCTATGAAATCATCGATGGCGAGCTCATTATTGTGAAGCCATGGGTGAACATGTGTTTGATAGAGGACTCTTGCACCTTGGGTTTGAGGGAGGATAAGGTAGAGAAGGAAACCGAGCCGAAACCAGGAATAAAAAGGTATCCTAAATTGAATTTATTGTCAGAGGGGTTTCTTGCGAGAGCGATTTCGAGAGAGATGGCTGCGAACCAAACTAGTATAAATCCAACCCAAGATTCAGCGAACAAAGCGATCGCAAGTACCACCCAATACATAAGCCAAGGTGTTAATAATGCCGGATCAGACGTCTTGAGAGCTTTGTAAGATGCGAAAACTGGGAAAAGAAAGGTAGGGACAGAACTGAAATCCCCATTAGTATATGGTTCAAATACTATTGCTAGATTTCCTTCGGTATTCTGGGCCGTTTGAGAATCTACACAGGCGGGGTATTACTTACGATAAGAGCCTTGCGAATGTATCGAACATGATGGGTCTGGCGCACAATCTAGTTGTTGGTAAAGTCAAGGTGATACAAAATATTGATTTCGATGATAAAAAAGTGCAAGTAACGAAGTACAGACGATGCGAGTGTAGGTTGTTGAAGTGAAGTGAAGGGAAAGGATGTATTGATGATGATTGATGGTGGTGATGGCGGTGGTGAGTGACGTTGATCACCTAATAATAATAATAATAAGGTTACGAAGTCAAGTACCTACCTACCTACCTACCTACCTAGGTACGTATACAAACACAACCCACAGCCTTATGAGTCTACTTCATTCCGAGGTAATGCGGAGTATCAAGCAGCGAATGGATGATTGAATGGGCGGCTCTACCTACTTCGTACACCCAGTGCTATGACCCCAATGAATGACTAAAAAACATTCCTGAGTACAGGGAAGATCATAGGGTAATGAACCCGCCCGTTGAATGCGCCCAGGAAAGCATATGGATGAATGAGTGAGTGTAAACGAGTACAGACTCGGAATTCATGAGCTTTATTAATGGGCTGATATATTCTCCCATAGGAATATGGGCTGAGTTTCTCAATTTCTCCCTCCCCCCCCCCCAACAGCAATCGGAGAGAGTTCGTATAAGAGGTCGTTCCTTCTGGTAGGTTACATTGCTTTCTTCCACAAATACACTTTGACAGCTGCCACCTTTGACATTCTTCAACTTGACTCAACCCACCTACGCTATCTACCTACCTTGTCTACAATTCACACCTATAATAACCGCCAGTATGTGTATCGTCTTAGCAACTACGGCGCATCCATCCTACGCGCTGATCATTCTCGATAATCGAGATGAATTCATTCTTCGGCCGACCAGCAAACCACACTGGTGGTCTTCCAATCATCAAGAAATTCTCTCAAGTCGAGATCTTCAGCGTGCTGAGCAAGGAACATGGCTAGGCATTACGAAAACTGGTAACTTTGCAGTTCTTACAAATTATCGCGAAACAAATACCCACGACAAAGATCATCCTGTACACGGAACAAGGAGTCGAGGCGGTATGGTCACGGCTTGGTTGACGGCAGAAAACGACGAGAGTACCAAACAATTTGTATACAGGCTATTGGATGGAGATGGAGTGAAAGGTGTCGGCGGGTTCTCCTTGGTATGCGGGAAATTGCGAAAAGAAAGGTCCTCTGACGACCAAATGGAACCTCTAGCAATCATTTCAAATCGCAGTGGAACCCCAGATGAAGTGCCATGGGTAGCTGCCAGCAGAGGAGAGGTTTACGGCTTAAGTAATACTTCCTACGATGATCCGATAACTTGGCCCAAGATTAAGTCTGGCAAGGAAAAGGTCTTGGAGGCTGTAGAAGAAGTGGTACTCAATGGCTTGGGAGAAGAGGAGCTAATCGAGAAGTTGTTCGCTGTTCTGGATATTGATACGCTCCCGAAGAAAGATGACAGTCAGGACTTTGAGGAGTATATCTATCAGCTTCGCAAGTCGATTTTTATACCTACAATTGGCCATGCAGCTCCACCTTCAGAAATTCCAAAGGCAGACGAGATTGCAGCTGCTGTCAGGAAGGTCTCGTCATCCAACGAAGAATCCGCGGTCGAGATGAAGGAGGAGCAGATCAAGGATCAGGAGGAGCAGAGGCCAACGCCCGAAAACAATAATGTTATATCTGGTGTTTACGGTACCCAAAGACAAACCATCATTCTCGTAGATTGGCAAGGACATGTCACGTTTATAGAGCGTTCATTGTTTGATGAAGAAGGCAATCCCATAGAAAGAGGTCAAGCTGATATGAGATTTGAGTTCGATATCGAGGGATGGAATGGGGAAAGTAAGGGAAATGAAGTATACCCGCACGCAGTGCTATAGTTTGCTAATAGGATAACAGACCACAAAGTACAATAGTATAATTTAAACCGTCAAACCAAACGATGGACCCTTATTAAGTGTCAAGGGCATGATTACCTAGTAGTAGAGTCGGTAATGCTGTTATGATATACATACATACATCTGAGGACTATCTGTCAATGTTCCTTGAATTTTCCTGCAACTTTCCTTCGGAGATCTAGAAGTTCCCAGACGATAGCCATGGTCAATAACTTTATTAACGAACCTAGGTGATTTCCACGGTAAGTAAATATTTGTAAATTCACTCTCGATGTCGTATATGGCGGCCATATTGTAAGAACGCACCTTCTACATTCTTTTCTTATTAATATAGACTTCAATAAATTTCATCAATAATCAGTGGTCCCTTCCTTTCCAATCTCGTCTCATTTCAACCAGTCTTTCAGACGATAGACCTTTTCTCACCATCTAAATGAAGGGGATATTTATCATTCAACAAACATTATCGGATTTTTGAAATCGAGCTTTTTTGCCTACCCATCACGCCCCCTCCGCATTAGGCAATGATGAGGATATGATAAATTCTTCAAAAAACCCCATCTCATCTGCCTGGCAAGCTTCTCAATAGCCGTTTACGATCTTCTTGATTTTAACAACTCTTGTCATTCCTTCTGCTTTGATCTTCAATTGTTGTTTTCTCGACCAGAACAACGCCAGAATCTGGAGGAGTACATCTTGCGACTCGCGGCCCAAACGACCGGTCTATAAACTTGCTTTATATCTTGAAGCTGAAGAGGAATCAAAATCCGTGGTAAGTTTGGCATCTCACTTCCACTCTTTTAATTTTTTGGAGGGTCGATATCGACAGAACAGAAGTTGAGTTGCATACGAAGCAAACCTTGCAAATCCATCATGTTTATCTGTATTTGTATATGTATGGCTTCATAGTCGGCAAACACTTCTAAAACAAGCTTCCATGCACTTTCGAGAATGTTGGATCACTTTCTTATCGCTTTATGCACTTTCTGAAACTTTGCATGCTAATCTTTTGAGACTTTCGTAGAAAAGCAAACTAACGGATATGGCCAACTATCATCGTCGCACTGCCGCTGTCCCATCGAGTCTTTTATCAGAGGATGATAGTCATTTCAACTCGTCAAAACGACCTACTTACAGGTATGAACGGGGATCAAACACGCAATGGCTAGTTGAGACCCTCCCAATTCTTGTTAAGAGGACTGCTCATCATTCTCCAATCTCGCGCGGAACAGCTTCTTCACCCCAAAAAGCTAGCAATTTGCCTTGCCCGGTATCGTCCCTGCGTAGGCCTGTCAACAATTCACCGGCTCCGGTCTCGTCTTCACGTTTTCGTCTCGGAAAGGAACCTGTGAATATAAAGCTATCCTCACGTACCAGAATCAATGATACAAACGGTTCCCCTTCACCAAATCGTCCGTCCAAAGGTCCATCTTCGAATTCTCAATACACAAAAACTGCAGCTTCAACAGCACGTAGAATCCCCTCAAGTTCACCGGGATTGACCTCATCCCTACATCAAACCGATAATAAAAGAGGCAAACTTCACCAAAGACGTGATTTCCTGCCTGAATTAACAGCTCGCGACATAGAGTTTCTAGAAAATTCAAAATCTTCTTCCCCAAACTTCTCGGGCCCATGTTTGTCAAGACGAAACCAGGTTAGCAATTTACCATACTCAGCTTCATCCCCAAACATCAAAAAATTATCAGACTCCAATGAAAACACTCCGCCAGTTCCGTTTGCTCCCAAAAGTGAATTGCATGAAAGAGTCTTGCATGGTCGTCGTGGATCTGCACACACCAATAACTACTACCCGCATCCACTATATAGCAACCCTACCGTCGCTAGCTCCGCCTTGACGGCTTCTGCATCTAGTACGGATATTAGCCAACCACATTCTCACAATCAGAGGATACCAGATCGTGACTCCTCAAGGATTCCAAGCCCAACATCAGGATCGAATCTCAAATCTACTAGTCGTCGACATCTTCATTCTCCAGTGAGAAGAGCTATAGAAAAGGGAGAAGAAAGCCGGGCAAGAAGACGGCATGCTTCACCAGTTTGGGGGTTACCACACATTCAAACCAATAGAACATCTCCTGCGGGATCATACCAAATTGCTTTCAAAACATCGGAACTGACACCGGAGCCAAAACAGGAATCGACTTCTCTTCCCAAATCAAGAACGTTTGGTGTCTTCACTACTCTCAAGAACTCATCTTCTATTCAATGGCTTCATAGTAATCGCCCAACGTCAAACCCAACTCATTCTGCCGGCCCAACTATCTCGACAACAAAATACTCGCCAACTCCGGAGTTTACAACAAACACCCTCCAGGTTCATACAGCTCAGCCTTTTGCCTACTGGTGCGGTCGATTCCAAGCCGTATCAGACCGATATCAGAGCGAAGACTTTCATGTTTGTGTCATTAATCCCCTTCCTGTTCCACGAGATAGCGACATCAAACGTGAAAAGCCATCCTCTCATTATAGACGCACCGGTAAAATACACCGAGAAGCAAATTCTCCATTGAAGTCTGATTCACCGGCTCCATTCCTTGAGAAATCCCACAGGAAGACTCCAGTCAAATCATATAAGACTGTCCTCGCCTTCTCAACCCCAGCACACTTTCTTGAAGATTTTGATAAACGAGCCCAGAAGGTCATGGTGTTTCTCGCATCGTTGTGCTGCACAAGTCCGGCCAAAAAGAGTCTTAGGGAATGGCAAATTCAATATGCTACAGTAATGAAGAACAAAGCTCTAATGCCTAGAAATGATGCAGATGATAAGGGCTTCTTTGGGAGGATGGGAAGGGTTATTAGTGATGGTGTGAATGGGACCAAGAATGGTACAAGTGGAAGAGGAACTGTAATGGGAAAGCGAAGCGCTTTTAGCCTCAGGAAAGGTGGTAGAAGTGCAGCGGAAGATCACTAACTATTACTCCAATTCTCGATAATCAAAGCTTAGATACATTGGAAGCGAAGGCTCACATGTTGGAATACTAACCTGCTTAATAAATTTAGCTCTGGGGGCGTGGTGACGGGGGTGCCGAAATATTGATTTGAGGAACGACATTGGACTTCACAAATGCAAATGAACATAGCAGGAGCTTGCAAGAATATCGATTCGATGAGATACTATGGTTTGAGCGATTCTATACGATCCAATAAGATGAGATACGAGTCATACGACACGAAATGAGAAACCACAATACTAGTTTTATGAGAACATCAAGATGCGCTACAAAACGATCCACCACAGTACAATAAGATGAGATGGGAAGACAGGTTATAAGACGTTGTTTATAAAATAGCTATAGTTGATAACCTCTGGTTTGTCGGGGGAGAGAAA